AATGAGCTTATATTAAAAGACACCAAAACAGACGCACAACAGACCGAAAGCCCAAAACGGATCCTCAGTGTTGACGACTTGGAGGTTGACTGCGACGGACATCCTTTCGATTACGGTATGAGTAAAGATGTTATATAATATGCGGGCATAACTGGACAACTGTTTGATTTTACAATATATGGTAGTAAATGAGCAATGTTAATTATAGCTTTATTTACCAAATATAAAGTTGTATATTACCCACGTTATCAGTGATTACAATAAATATAATATTCTTACAATTTTCTTATGTGAATAGTGTTTAAGCAATAGTTGTGTTGAAGAGGGGATTGTAATCACTATATTCTAAAGTATAATTAATAGCAAATTAATACCGAAACATAACACTGTTTAGGTATGCAGTATACGGTCACACAATTGCCGTCGTGTCGTACGAAGAAACAGCGGACAGAGTATCAAATAACTATTGATAAAGTGGACAAAGTTTCTAACAAACGCCTCAGTAGTCTAACTCTACTTCCGATCATCAGTAATAATATAGTGACGGATGCGGTGACGGATTTGCTTAATTTCACGGACGCTGTGATTCTCCGTTTTTCCAAATGCCTTCAAAGCGGTAATGGATTGCGATTCACCGCAGATATGATGGACACCGAGAGTGTCGACACCGCTCTCGTCAATACCGATCAGTCGCTCAGTTATGGCGAATCGTTTCCGTTTGAATTCAAAGGCGATATCAATCGTTACATCCGTGGCTCGTATGACTCGCGCGTTGGCGACCCGATTGCGGGCCCGACGGCCGACACTTTGCTCAAAGCCCTGACACTGTTGAGCGCGAACGACGCCTTCAATCTGGAGCGCATGGAGACAATGGGCGACTCGTTCCTCAAGTTGGCGACGACAACGTTCCTGTACTACGGGTGCCCTGAGCTCGACGAGGGACGGCTCTCGTACTTACGCCAACNTGTTCCGATGGCTGCCGGAGCCGAAGAGTCCCATTTGGAACACGGAATTGACTGACAATGATATTGACTTATTCATAGACATTGACTACAATGGATGTAATTTAGATGTCTTCGAGCGGATCATTGGTTACGAATTCAAGAACAAAGCGTTTCTAATCCAAGCGTTCACTCATAGCTCTAACTATCTGAATGTGTTCACCGATTGCTACCAACGACTCGAGTTCTTAGGCGACGCCATTTTGGATTATCTCATAACTCGTCATATATTCAGCATTGAGGACAAGAAGTTCAGTCCGGGAGAGCTGACAGACTTGCGGTCGGCGCTCGTCAACAACGCCTTCTTCGCGTCGATTGCCGTTAAGTTCCGTTTCCATCAATTTCTGAAAGTCTTGTCACCGGATCTGTTCCACGCCATCGAACTGTTTGTTCGAGAGTTTGAGAAGAATAAAGTGATGACAATTAACAACAGCTTTAATCACTTGACCGATGAAGAGGTGTCCGACTTGGAAGAGGTGGAAGTGCCCAAAGCGTTGGGCGATATATTCGAGTCGGTGGCCGGCGCTATATGGCTGGACAGTGGGCTCTCATTGGATGCCGTTTGGAGAGTCTATTTCAAGCTTCTTAAGCCAGAAATTGGTATTTATATGTTATATTCGTGTTGTTTAACAATAATTAACGTTAAAATGTTATATTTTTGTAGACTATTTCAGTCATAATATCCCAAGAATGCCGATCCGAGAGCTGAGAGAGCGCTGCGCGAAAGTGGAGTTCAGGTATTTTGAATGAGTTTCACAATTTGTTTGAATCGCTAATATGTTTGATTGGGTGCGCAGTGCAGGGGAACAGATTACTGGCCGTAAGATACACGTGATTGTGACCGCCGATGGCAGACAATACGGAGGAATCGGCAAAAATACCAAATCTGCCAAAATAGCCGCTTCCAAGTGTGCCCTTAAAGCCATGGCTCAGCAAAAAGTATAGTTCACTTCCAAACACCGCTTAATGTCTGTCCGCCGCACACTTTAGTCGCTAATAATAAACACTTTTATAATGAACGTTACATTTGATGGCATATCTCATGTCTGAGCAAACTATCGTATCTAAATATTTATAATACATTTAATTATTTCGAATACATGTTTTGTTTGTATATTTAATTAATACAGTGCAACCTCTCTATAAGGTTGGCCGGGGGCCGAACGATTCTATAAACCACATTACAGTTATTCATTGTTGTATTTTGTTTAAAAACCTTCTTATAAGAAATATATCTTTATAACAAAAACTTCCAACATATTTCTTATAGAGAGATTGCACTGTATATATTGGTATAATTGATAGTATAAATTGAAGAGCTACACCTGGTAAAATAGCTTAGATTAGTTAATTTCATTTACTGTATGGAATGCTTTTGTGTTGTCATTCTGTTATTTCTAAACTTCTATAATAGTTTAAAAGCAATTTGTTTTTTACAGCAATAAGTGTTGAGAGCTTGAGATTAATATATTTAATTATAAAGTACTGATTATAATAAATTGCATTTAATAATCTAGAATCTATTGACTCATTTGATTAATAGCCGACTCAAGCAATTTCTAACATAGATTTGAACAATTCTTGTTGGGAAAGTAATGATCCAATGTTTATGAAACTCAGTTTCTGTTGCCCAACAAAGTTAACTTAAATTACTATTATAACATCACTTTCATTATGATAGCTATATTAGAAGTTGCTTAGGTCGGCAATTGATCAAATTAACCACAATTTACAGTATTATATTATAGATAATGTTTTCTTAAATATTGATTACAATATTAAAGCAATTGTTAAATTTTATTGATAAATGATTTAATAATAATGTTTTACTTATAATCAGAAAAGTCAAACCAATTGTGATTCACATCACATTACCAGTGGTTTCAATGGTTTGAAACTTTGATTTTGCTGTTAAGTGTCAACACAATCAAGAAATTCAGATATCAAACCAAATACTATATAATTATTACATTTCAAATATTATTACTTATAATAACTACTAATAAATATCCAGAAAATGTGATTTAAGCCAAAAGTCTTTATAAAGTGGATTCTGGTCACCAGAAACTTATAGGTTTTCATATGCAATACACCATTCGTTTGATATAACCGTCTTTTTGGACATTAAATTCATTTTAATATAAAACTATTTCCTAATTTGTAATGAAAAATTTTATTCTGTAATAATTTTTGAAAAATGATTGTCTAATAAAAGAGATTTTACAAACACATGTTTGGTTTGGTTTCTAGCATTTGGTTTATAGCTATTTTTAAAATAACTAAATTTGATTATTTCTATTGCGTAACATTTATCTGCTTTTAAATTGTGGATAATATTTATTAAACCACTCGACAGTAATCGTAAATGCGGTCTACTTTTCAAATCTATTCAAAAGGAGATTAATTCCTATTCTGTAAACATGTACTTAAGTCCTTAGATACGAGTGAAAGTCGGCTTAATATACATTGTATTTCACAACTGTATTAATAGTAGACTCGGAAACAATCAAAAGCTGATAGCATTTGCATTTATTAAGACCATAATTAATCTAAATTGTAGAATAATCGCCGTTTGAATGAACTAAAAACGCTATTTAACGTAAACAACAATCACATGGATATCTCTTTCTTAAGAGATGTGTTCAATTGTTTGACGAGTTAATCACGTCTTCACATGATTCGCGATATTTCATAATCAAATGCAATTGAAAAACAAATTTTGAAATTTAAAAAATGTATAAAAGCGAATGTAATTCTTTGAAACAATTTAATAGACACCTATAGTGTAGTCAATTGTGAGTACACTATAGAAAAACAATGAAGTCATATATACTGCCCGTAGTGTTGGCCGCTTTGATGGCCGGCACTGACGGCCAGTATTACAAT